GGCCCCATGGGCAGAGACCCGGTCACCAGGCGCTTGCCGACAAGCCCCTCCCCCAGGCCTGGCTCCAGGGTGGGGTCCTTGTAACCCACGTCCGGGCAAGGGACACTGAGTTCCTTGTTTTGTTTTGTCCATAAAAATCTTATATATATATATAATAGTATATTTAGCTGACAGGTATATCTGTGTAATATCAGCATAACAGCGATGACACCTGAATAAGCATGATTTTCACGAAAAGAAAACAAAGGATCTATAGGATCTAAACAAAGGATATATGATCACAAAGAAGGTGCCCCAAGAGTTATTCCTCATAAATTTTGTAGTTAGTTTGACTTGCTTGCAGAAGGATTTATAGTGTACAAGACTAATGTAAGTAAAAGATGAAACTCATAATTTAGCTGAAGGAATGCAATTTAGACACTGTCTAATGAGACTTAAACAACATTTGAAGTATCCTGATGCATGCTCAATAATCCAGGTAGAAAAATCCAAAAAAAGTTCAATCTGGTCCTCTGGACATTCAAAAAAAAAAAAAAAAAAAAAAACAAAGAAAAAAAATGTAGAATAAAATCTACTTTTTTTATTATTATTATTTTTTTGAATGTCCAGAGGACCAGATTGAACTTTTTTTGGAACATTTGAAGTAGCAAACATGAATGTGCAGTAGACATATTTAGCCTAATATATGTTTTAGCAGGCTTAGGGGCAATGAGATTTAAAACTACACAAAACTGACATGATTTCCCTGTTCATGAAATCATTTTGTTTTCCCTCTTTTATTTGTTGTGGTACAAAAGAATGAACGTTAACAACAACAAACCTTGATTAAAAGTGTGTTTCTTGACAGACGATACAACAAAAAGAGCAACATTTGAACAAAGACGGATGATGAAAAGTAAATGATAGATGAATAAATAGTTGAATCCATTACCTTGAGAAAGTGGCAATTGTGTTGAAAATATTTTGTTTTAAAGTTGTGAATTAAAAATGCATTTTAATAATCAAGATTTCACAAAGTAAATTTCAAAAATGGTCAAATTTATAGCAAAAGAGGCCCAATTTTTCTGCAGATAATCATCAAAATGCGTTGTGATATCAGTAAAATAATGTTGGATGGATTATTTGTGAAAAAAAAAAAACCATTCACCCAGGAAAATGACATTTGCTACAAATGATAAGTTTTGATGCATTTATGCAACAAACAATTAGGTTTAGGGAAAAAAAAAACAGGACAAATTGAAACAGGCTTTTTCTAAAGTAATATGTATTTAAAAAAAATCACATAATCAAACACCCTTGGTATTTTTCATAAGGGCATTTAAACATGATATTTGCATATGTTGTCATCATGTACACTGTTATTGTGTTGCTAATTTCTTGATGAAAACATTCAAAGATTATTACTTTCTTAAAACCTGTTGCACTTGGCATTAATTGCACTGACATAATTATTGTGATACTTTGATGGCATCCATCCATCCATCCATTATCTTCATTCATATGGAAAATAGTTTCTAATAAGCATTAGTGAAATATATAAAACATGGGGTACAGTACAAGCACCTTCACACAGGTTACACGTTATGTAAAGCATAAGAAAAGTTTCATCTTGCATCAGTTTTTTTGTAGTTTGAATTTTTTTCCTCTATGTAACAGAAAGTCAGGTATCACACAGTTATGGAGTTGTTTATTTCCATTGGTGAAAACAAAACAATTATACTGTCACAATTTTGATAACACTCTATGCAGATGATATTACCTCGCATTAAACTCTGCTTTCCTTTATTATTTGCAGGGCTGTGGTACATATCCAGGTCAACGATGTAAACGAGTTTGCTCCAGTTTTTCGGGAGCCACAGTACCGAGCTGCTGTGACTGAAGGAAAGATTTACGACAGCATCCTGCAAGTTGAGGCCACAGATCAGGACTGTTCACCACAGTACAGTCAGATCTGTAACTACCAGATCACAACCAGTAACACCCCTTTTGCTATAGATCGGAATGGTGAGTAGAAGTGAAGGAAAATATGATCAGCAACAACAGATGTGATAATGTAAATTAAAATGAAACCTTATGTCACCTACTGACAATACTTTTTTCTAGTTTTTATTTATTTATTTATTACTTAAGCCCTGATCAAAATGAATATCTTTAATTTTCAGGTTTTAGACCCTTTAAATGGGGGAATGGCGAAGCAGAGGCTAGAGAAGGCGAGCCTGTGATCAGAAGGCTGTCGGTTCAACTCCATAGACCGACAACATAAAAAATGTGGGTGGGAAAGGTGAAGCACCCACACCTGCCTCCACCCTCATTTGCCCCACTCTGTGCCCTTGAGCAAGGCCCCTTAACCCCAACCATATGCCACCTTGGGTGCCCTAGACAGCAGCACTCTGCTCCACACAGAGAGCTGTGGTAGCTCAGTGGTCTGTGGTTGTGTCAGGAAATGCAACCAGCGTAATAACATTAGCCACGTCTTCATGAGAGTCATTTCGCTGTGGTGACCCCTGAAGAAGGGAGCAGCCAAAAGAAGAGAATGTCACCCACTGAGAATGTACTAAGTGCTGTTCAATACAAGTGTCTTCCATCTGACAAATCCTGTCCACACCTTTTAAAAGCAAATTCAAACCCATAAAAATGCAATGGCTAAAAAATCAAAACTACTCCTAGAATTTCCTGATGCATGCACAATAATCCAGGTAGAAACATCTAAGATGTTAAATCTGGTCCTCTGGACATAAAAAAAATAATAATAATAAATTAAAAAAATGTAGAAACGTTTCAACTTCCATCCCAAAGATTTCCTCAGTCTGAGATGCTGTATTCAGCTCACTCTTATAAATGTTTATATTTAGTATATTTATATTTACTTATAATTCCTAGAATTGGAAATTTTGAAATTTACCCTTCTATAAAGGTAATTTCTAATGCGTTACTACTTGTACTAAAATTGTTGTTTTTAGTGATTATTTAGGAAAAACATAAATAAATAAAATAACTTTTTTCACTTGTGTAAAGTCATAAAAAAATGACATTCGCTTTCATTTATTGGGATTTACTTAATAGGATATAATAAAAATCTGTTTTGTACCAGGGACTGGCATAGTGGCACAGCTGGTAGTGTCTTTCAGTGAGAAGGTTGCCAGATCGAATACCAGCCGTGGATCTTTCTGAGCAATGATGTGCAGTCAGGGAAAGCAGGTCAGGCAATGCTGCACCTGTCATCATGACAAGTAAAATACTAACAATAAGAGAAAATACATTTGACCACTTGACTGTTCTAAAAAACTGTTTTATAAAACTGTTTTCTGAATTATTTCAACACTTCACTGGTCAAAATCACATAATTTACACATTGCCTGTTCAAATATGGAAGAAATGTGCTGGGTGAGGCAGTGTAGTGTCCTGGCTTACCTCTGGGGGTGCTATGTCATATACAATATATAAAGTAAGCAGTTGGAGCGTGCCCATTGTTGTCTCTCTTTATATCGCCAATATTCATGTTTGATTACGCATGTGTTGCACATACTGATGTTCTACAGTTTGTCTAATATATCGAATGAATGTGTGTGACATATTTCTTATTTTTAATTGGTCATAAATGCACGGAGAAAATATACAGGGGTGAGGCAGAAAGTACTGTTCCGCACCGATAGGGGGCAATGCTGCCCCAAAGGTACAAAGACGCAGGTGCAGTCTTTGTGCGTTCTTCTGTTACGCAGAGGAGCAGGGGTGTAGCAAATCTATAATGGTACACTCGTTTAAATTTGTTTAGACAAAACTGAAGATCCTATGTCAAAACTAAAGTATTTTTTAACTCATTCTTCTTAAAATAAAGGTAAGGTAATACATGTTTATTTTTTTTAAAGAGAGGACTATTGAGTTGATTAAAGCATAAATAGATGCCTTTTTAAAAGAAAAAAAGCTAAATTGAAATATAAATTGGTTTGTGCTTTAAGAACTCAAAATCAGCTGATTTACGAGAAAAACCCTAAGTTGGAAGTGATTTGAATCGCAGGCCACCTGCGGCTTTGGGACTCGTCAGTATGGAAACAACACTGAGAGGCTCATAAGCACGGACCAGCAGAATGCATCCTAATATAGCCATTGTGGACCTTGGAAGTATCACTACAGCCTAAAAGGCTTGACAATAAAAATAGTCTGCCTGAATAGGTCAAAAATCGTGGTTATCTGAATATGACTCTCCGGCTGGCCACAAAACAGGCCGACTTATCAATTTCTCCTGGGAAATGTGTAAACTAAGGAAAAGCTTTGTCTATCGCAACCCCCTCCCGCCCTTCTGTGAAGTCTTATCAAAACTGTGCCAGCTGACCATCATCTTATCAGGACAATGGACTATCTTTTGGTGCTTCATAGACTGCCTCGTCGTAAATGCATATGTAATGTGTTATAAATGTGCTGCTGGCAGAGTTTTTTGATGTCTTAAACCATGTCCTGTTAAGACAAGGTATGAAGAGATTTTTTTTTTGTAATGCCACTACCCCTTTCCTAATGGTTTTGTCCCTTTTTCTATCTTAATTAAAAAAAAAAGATTCTGAAAAGAATAAAAAAGCCGCGGTATATAGCAGCAGCTTCATGCACTACGTCCATCTTTCGGGCGACTGTACGGACATATTCTCATTGTATCTCGGTGCAATGATAATAAAGCTTATTCTGATTCTGATATAAGCTTCTATTTTGGTTTCATATATGTGAGCATCCAATTCCAGACAAGTCAGTGCCTCACCTGTCACAAACCTCACTGCATGTCACTGTTTCAGAGTGGAGTTTACTTGTTCTTCTCGTGCATTTGTGTGTTTTCTCCAGACACTCTGGTTTCCTCCCACAGACCAAAAACATGCATGTTAGGCTGACAGATAACTGGATTGTTCCTAGGTGTGAGTGAAAGTGTCAATGGTTGTTTGTCTCTATACGTCCCTGTAATGGACTTGTGACCTGTCCAAGGTGTCCCTCGCCTCTCGCATATTGACTGCTGAACATGGGCACCAGTGACCCCTATAACCCAAAAAGGAAGAAGCAGGTAAAAAATAATGGATGGATGAATGTTTACCAGGTTCTAAAACAGTTTCTCTAACTTCAAGTGAACAAATATACAATAGATTCCATTGTGCCATTACTTAATAAACAAAGACAAGGAAATTTACAAAAGAAGATTATGATGGTATGAAATCTAAGCAGAAAGGCAAAAGGAAGGCATTATTGTTTTTGTGTGTATGTGGTGAGGGGAAAATCATCTTCTCTGCCGTTCTACAAACACAACTGCCTATGTCTGTCATGTGATCAAAGTATTTCAACCACTGAGTAGGTTTTAATGACATTCACAAAGGAACATATGAAAGTGCATCTGCAAAATTGTACAACTGATGAACTTTGGCATTCAGCTTCGCTCAAGATGGTTGTCCCACAGCTAAACAACCTTACCCAACACAAATATAGCTCTAATTATGTACATTTTAAAGATATTGATCTACATTTAATTTGGTGTGCTTGAAATTAACAGTAATTTATAACACATATTATATATTTGCTTAAAACTTTGGTATTACTTAGACTGTCAGCAACATGCCTAAAGAAGATGAATTTAAAAGGTTATTCAGAAAATAATAACTGAATTTACAATGACAACTCAACATGTGCCAAGATGGACACTACCACTTACCCACTTTTAACATTATAAAAATTGCTGTAACCTAATTTGAGGCAAATGTTTAATGTGGTAGTAACTGAGAATTATCCTCAACACATACACTCAGTTAATACACTTCTCAAATATGGTGCAATGCCACTTTCACAACTCTTATCAGTTCCTCACCACACCACACCAGTTAAGAGCCTGCCCTCTGCCAGTACTCACCCCCAGTCAGCCCGTTTTATGGGACCAACTTTTTTGAGGTTCCAAGCAGGCTGCTATGACCCACCCAACAAAACTGAAAACTTAATCTGAACTTCTATTTCATCCTAAATTTGGTTGATGGATGGCCCCACAAGAAATGAACGCATTTACAGAGAGATATTGGAGAAGAGCATGGCTACACCCACTATAAGCAGTGATGAGATAAGCTAAATATATTCAAGTCCAATTATAGGCCGATCAAGGACAACAAGGGGCAGAGTGGCTCAAATACTAGTTATGTTACCGCCCACTTTGCACTGACCATCACGAGAATGGGAAACAAGCTGCAGTGGCAAATCACCTACAGTACACCTGAGAAGAACTGATAAGATGAGAGCCGAGTGCAAGCGCGCTTATCAATGGCAGAGCAGCTAGTATCTAGTACTATTGCAAACCATGAAAGGTGCTGGGTACAATTTATAAGCAATGCACACACTTGCAATGTTGTCCTCCGGCAACGGCCTCCCATCTGACCCGTTCCGGCCTGATCGCCTGACCCGTTCTGGCCTGATGGATGGCCTCCCGGCCTCCCACCAGAACGATGACTTTTCTAGGAATGGTCCCCGGACCATGCAGACATTCTTTGTGTTCCCTAGTTTTGTTTAGTTTTGATCCCAGGCTCTTGTCCTGCCAGTTTTTTGTTTTGCCCTCATGTGTTCCTTGTGCCCTCCATCCTTGCGGTACCTCCCTCCTACCGCCCAAATTTTTTGGGTTGGGCCCTTTTTGGGACGTCAGGAGGCGTCCTTGGGGAGAGGGTACTGTAAGGATGGTATCCCTCTATCAGTCTCCCTGTGTCCGTACTCCCTAGTGTCTCTCAGTAATTACCCCAACCAGCTCCACCTGCGTGTCCTCCTGGTGTTTGTAATTTGTCTCGTCTAGTCTGTGTGTATATAAGCCCTGGTCTGTGTCTCAGTGTTTGTCGGTGCATCGTCTGGTACAGCTGCTGGTTTGTCTCCTGTGTTCCCTATATAATCCTGACCTTATCCTGTCTGTGAGTTTTTGCTGCCACATCAGCTATTTATTTTGATTATTAAAGTGATTATTATTTTACAACCTCACTTCTGAGTTCTGCATGCACAAATTAATTATTTCC